ATTTTTTACTATATCATATTATTATGTCTTGTACATATTTTAGACAACATCAAAACTGAATTAGAAATAGTTACAGGATTTGTTCTATTGGGAGTATTTTTTGGATCTCCACATTTGGAAAGTGCCTTAGTTGTAAGTCCATCTTTGACTTCTAGAGGAAGAATGTTAAATAATGTAAACATCTGCAAAACAGGATGGAGTGATTTTAAAGAAAAGCAGTAAAAAAAAATAATTCAGTTTGGGCAAAGCCACACAAAATTAACTTGAAGATTTACTGCATGATCTCGTCAAAGACTCGGATTCGACTGTCAGAGACACTGTAGTAAAGGAAATATTAGTTGTTCTCTCTCTTTACCTTAAAAGTCTGTTTGTATTTTATATTTGCATAGGGAATATTCTGTTTAACTTTGATTTGGGAGCAATCCTGCTACTTCTCACTACACATGTAGCATATCAGCCTTTTGCAATGCATAGTCCAGCATAAATGAGAGGGCAGTGCTGACCATTGACAGTAGGTATTGCATAATATTAAATATGAGCATATAATCAGATTGTAATAATCATAAGCATAGGGGTACATGGGCATGCTCAAAACCTACAAATGTTAATTACCAGAAATGTGTCTAAAATGTGTTTTAAACTATTTTTTCCTTGGCTGATGTTTAAAATAGATATTTTTATCTTTTACACCAAGATGGAATACTACATTTTCATATGTAGCTGTGTTTAACTTTGTGTTTGTATTGCCAGTCAGGTAATGGATGATTTGACATCCATTTCATATTAAATATCTAAATCAGCTTTTATTTGGTGTAATTGCATAGATATGTTTATTCCGAATGAACTCAGAGGAGCTAGAGTATCTGTTTAGGTTTTGTGGAATTCAGTAATTTGTATGCTTGCACTGCAAAACTTTCAAGTGTTTTAGGAATATACAGAATTAAATATAAGGTTTGTCTTCACTGCATTGCTATCTTGAGATATAAACCAAAAGTTTTGTTCCTAACCAGGTTCCTGTTCACATACAAAACCCTAACTTTATTTAGCTGGATGTTTTAAGCTAGTTAGCCTGTCAGGGTCTGAGTTGAAGTTAGTGTTGCTGATTTGAGCTGATAGTGCAGCAGGGATTCAGCAGCTGTAGTTGGAGCAACTAATTAGCTACTAATCTGCTTATCAAATCACTCTATTTAAATGTTTTGCTGTGATAGTAACTCAAGTTAACTGTCGAGTGAAGACAAGCAAGTCCCTTAAAATATAAGCATTGCTTGAAACCCAGTCCTGGCAATTGAGTTACTGTGTTTTTCTTGAATCTGGCATTCTTTTATATGAGAATCTCCAAATGTTGGGGGAATTGTATGCGTGTGTCCATTCCAGTTATATTCCTTGCTTTTGTGTAGCATATTAGACTACTGTCTTTGTACAGTATTTGAAGCTTTAATTAAATTTAACATTTTTGGTGTGTTTACTGAAGTGGGATTTTTATTTTGCGCATATGCCTCTAGCTGTATTTACTTTTGAATGCTGTGATTGTAAAAATGTGTACATAGAATTGGAAGAAATAATTCTATTGCATATATAATATATAGTCTATGCAATAGTTTATATTGTATATAAACTATACATAAAATGTGTGGTAATGACTTAAATGAAAGAAATTAATAAATGATCAGCTAAGACATGACATCATTGAGCAGCTGTATAATATTCCTGTGACTATTCTATTCACTTCTGTCTGTCCAGTTTTTGTTCTTACTCCCTTGCAGTACCTGTGAAATTGTTAAAGTCTTTTCTGGTAACGTCTTCCTTGGAAAAGTACTTCTGTAGATATCCTACATGTAGGAATTAAAGGTCTTTAACAGATAAAATTGAGAAATGGATATGAAAGTTTTCCTGGTGTTCAGATGTTGTTATAACCAGGGTTTCTAGGTGAGCTGTTTTGCTGAAATGCCTAAAAAGCAGTGACAAGGACACCGTTGTGCTATACAAAGATGACAATAATTTCTGCCCCAAAATGTTTACCGTTAGCTCAGACTTCCTTTTTTAAGTCTGTCAGTATTGTTCTGTTAACTCAGTAAAATCATTCTTTTCCTGGGCCTTAGCATGCTGCTATTAGAATATTTCTGAATGCCATGATTAGGAACACACAGGCTTAGCAATCACAATTGAATTATTCATTGTTGAGTGGTGCTGTTATACCTGTCAGAGTTGACTGGGAGGGGTCTTACATAACATGTTAGTATGATTTTTTTTTATTCTACTTGGCTGCACGAAGGCAGATCTATTCTAATAGAGTTTCTTAAATTAAGTTGCAGTTAAAAACAAAACAAGACAAAAAAGCCCCCAAACTGTCCAAAGATAGGCCTATAAAAATTGATCACATTATAGTAGTTTAGAATATCAGTTTGTAAAATAAATAAATAAAAAATCAATCTAATTCTATTAATGAACTTAAGGTTTAGAGTGATTAAGTTGATTTAATAGCTAGATTTTGAGAAGCATTTTAATTTAAATTTAGTTGGTTCCTCAAATACAATCAAACTTGGCCTCAAGAAACTATGACCTTGGGGATTGTTAGAAAATAAGAATGATGTTTTTATGAAAATCATTGATGTTTAGTTGTTCTGTGTTGGAAGAAAAACCAAACTGTTCAGGTTCTTTGCCAAAAACCCCAAGGTGGAGGCGGCACTCCTGCCTTTACTGAAGTGGCAGTAGTTTACGTGGATACTTGCCCAGAGTATGAGAAACCCAGGTTCAGATTCTTTCCCTGGCCTGATCTGGAGCAGTGATTTGAATCTAGAACTTCTGCCTACAAAGTAAATGCCCTAACCATGAGGTTCTTGGGCATTGTGGAGCAGTGATTCTTAACCAAGGTAACACAATAAAAACCTACACATGACTTACAAGATAAACCTAGGTATTTCACAAAGGAATCCATAGCATCAAAAACATTCTGATCTGTTGTGGCCTGAGTTCTTCACAACAAAAGAATTGGTCTGTTGTTTTTCCATAGTCAAAAAGAAGGAAAAAGTGTAAGAGCCTTTTTCAAGTGGTGTCTTGAATCTTAACGAGTTGAGTCACTGTTCTAGAGGGTATACATTTGTCTCTTCACTCTTCTCCCAGTATACTGGACTCAGAAGACGTTTCAACTGAAAGCTTTGTGGAAGCGAGTATGTTTTGAAGATTTTGGAATTTTGTTCCGAAGTGTAGTTAAAAAAAACCAACCCAAAATGGACAAACCAAACCAAGGGCTAGGACTGTGCTAGGGGCAGGGCAGGTGGCTGCAGCATTGGGAGGTAGGTCTATGAGGGGGTTATAGCCACCCCACCAAGTGGCAGGGAGCTGCTCTGCACCCCCCGGGTGAGCCACCCGTTGCTCCACTTTGCACCCTGCCCTAGTTGGTCAGTGCCTGCCCCAGCTCCACTCCCTCTCCCTCTGCCCCCTCCCTCTCTCCATTGGTTGCTTTCCTCGCCCCCCCCCCTCCCCCCCCACTTACCGGCCAGATGCTGCTCTCCAAGGTGCCTGGCTGCATTCAGGCAGATGCTGTGGCTGCACACATACATGCAGCATTTATTGGTGATGTTATCAGCTACACCAGCCAAAACCTGCCGATTTGCTGATAATGTCAATTTTCCTTTTATTGATGCTGATCCGATATGGACTGATATATTGGTGCACTTCTAATGGAAACGTACCAATGACCTATTCTCGTAATACAAGAATTAAAGTATATTTTTATAAAATAGAAGTCAAATTTGAGACTTAAAGCACTTTTTTATGGAATGCACATTTAAATGTAGAACTTGAATGGATTCCAGAAAGAAGATGTAGATGGATAATTAGCATCAACACTTTATTAAAGTGGTCTTAGTAAAATAAAAGATATAAGCCCTTTATGCTTCAGGGTATAAACTCTAAGCTCTTTCAGATATCAGAAGAAACCTTTTCTATGAATATGAATTCTTAACTGCACACTGCCAGTGACAGGTTGCCACACTATTTGAACCTGATCGGATCCCATTTTGTCAGACTTTCTGTTTCGTAACTGCTTGCTATTCTTTTTTATACCTCAACTTTGACAGTTCCTCCTATTTGTAAAATCCATGGAATTCTTAAGAACTCTTTAATGATTTATACTTTAAAAAAAAAAAAAAAAGACAGTCATTGGCAAATGTGTGGTGCACTTGGAGGATGTGCTTAATGGAAGAAAAATTCAAAGGAAAATTTTAGTTTATTTTTATGGCAACAATAAAAAAACAAACTTTCATGAGAGAAACTCTGTTTCAGGTGCATCTTTGTCAACTTTCAGTATGGATCTTTGTGTAAAATACTCTGGTTATGTGAAACCTGATGTGTATATAATTAGCATAACTACATAACACAGTGCCAGTCCGAGTCCCAATTTTGTTATCAGTTACTTGCATAGCAGCAAACATTGATTAACATGTTGGTTAAGTTCATAGTATCTTGCACTGCTTGCTTTATAACATAATATAGTCTGGTTAACTGCAGATAAATAGTGACGGGGAAGCAACTGTCAAAATGCTGCTGTTAAAAGCTATGAAAATAATAGGAGCTAGTTAGTTTAAGGGCTGCTAATATCACAGCACTGGCAGTACTGAGTGCTTACTGTGTACATTAAGTTCAGACAAGTGCATGTTCCAAGTAAGTGCATAGCCTTTTTCAGGCTCAAGCTGATGCATTTAAATGGAGTACAGTATTAATAAAGAAGATTGAACATCACTGTAAAGTGGAATCATGCTAAGATGTGTTAAGCTTGAAAAAATGCAAGTTTCCAAAATAAGATGTGTTCCTTTTTCATAGTAAGCTGCAATAAACTACTTTGTGTAAGCACATTATCTTTTATATAAACTATCCTTCTTTTGAGAAAATGGGTAAGAAATTAATATTACCTATTTCATGTGAATATTGTGCTAGTGAGAATGTGACCAAAAGTTGTGTTGCGAAGGAAAAATGTAAATTACTGTCTGTCTTCTGTTCAGAGTCTACATCAGTGGACAAATCTGTATCTCATTCTTGCACAACTCCTTCTACATCTTCTGCTTCTGGACTGAATCCAACATCTGCACCTACTTCATCTACTTCTACAGTCCCTGTCTCACCTGTCCCACAGTCACCAATTCCTTCATTACTTCAGGACCCAAATCTCCTTCGACAGCTGCTACCTGCTCTGCAAGCTACTCTGCAGCTTAATAATTCTAGCGTAGATATATCCAAAATAAATGAAGGTAAGGATGCTAAAAATAATTAATAAAATTTACTTTTTATTTTGCAAATCCTGTTTATAACCAGGCATAAAAATGTTGTTGAAAACCTTTAGAAATGAGGTGACAAAACAAAATAGTATAAAATAAGAAAAAAAGAATACCTGGGTAAACTTAGCTTTACTATTTTAGTTTTCGGGTTTTTTTTTAACTCAGCCTATATAATGATTATTTTATCTAATTAGCAGATCATCAAGCTAAATAAATATTTGTGTACATAAGCAGTCTCATGGGATCTGAGACTTTTTCAGTCTGTTGGTGTTTGTTCCTTCACACAGTATTTAGTTTTTATCAGCTGCCAGAAGGGAGAGTTTGGGTTACCTTGGTGGTATTGGATCTTTCCCTTTTTCTGTTACCAGTGCCAACTGGTTCTGTTCATACTTTAATCTTCTGTAGTTTGTGCTTATGTTGTAATAACTCATTATGCAGGGTGTTCACTAAGGCTATTTTTTTCATTGACCCTTAAAGCTCGTTGACTACCAGTTTTGTTTAGTCTAACAGGAAATGAGTGCAGGTTGGTAGTGTTTTCCAGTGGGGACCAGAATGATCTAACATGGGTCTGAGATGGTGGGCATTGAGTCCCAGTTATCCCTGCTGCCCCTGTGGCATGGTGCAGGGAGAGCCCCCCTCCACCAGAGCCGTAAGCTGCAAATGCCTGCTATATAGAGTATTTATTAGTCCTTGGGAGATGGTTTTTATTTTCTGATAATGAAGATTGGGAATAAATAGCATTAAGATGGTAAAAATATTTGGAAAAGTAACTTGCAAGCCCTTGAGCAGGTTTTTCAGTGTTGCCTAGACTAAATTGTAATACCCATTTTTTTTAAGTTCATAAAGTTAACTTAAGTTACATATTAATTCTTTATTAGCAGTTAATGCTTTGTGTATGGAATCCATGAATAAGTCCATCAGTGATCCTGCACTTTGTTGGAGGAATGTTTAGGATTTTCTATAGGTTTATATCAAACTTAATTGTTTTAGATGCTGCTTGAAATTTCTCATTCGGAGTTTCAGATAATGTATGCATTTGAGAGTTTGCCAGCCTCTGGTGGCAGAGAGGATTGTGTTCAGGTTTTTTGCCCTTGCTCTGAATTGATTCCTGGTGTAAGTGGGAGAATGGAGTTTGTACTTAGAGAGGCAGGGATTTCTTAGGCGGGTATTGTTTATTGAAGCAACTGTGTAGCTGGGATGAAGCAAGACAAGTTTTTGAATGAAAGACATTCTTCCTCAAGTCTTCCCCCCCAAATGCCCTCATACAATTCCCTCTTCCCCCAAATGCCTCTCATACAATTTCTGGACCATCGTAGCTACAGTATCGTTCTTATGCTACTGTTTGTACTTATACCATACAGAGTTAAGGGATTTAACAGATTTGAAAGCTTTGAGGCAAGTGCTAAATATGCAAATTGTAAAGTTCCTAGAAATTTTGTCTACATTAATCTAAATCATAATGTATGTAACAGCTTTTACTTATGAAAATGCTTTCTAATGAATAATTAATATCTACATCAGGAGTGGGCAAAATGAGGCCCACCAGGTCATTCTATCCGGCCCACAGGGCCCCTAAAATTTTAGAAAATTAATATTTATCTGCCCCTGGCTACCTGTCATATGGCCCTCGATGGCTTGCCAAAACTCAGTAAGCAGCCCTCCACCCGAAATAATTGCCTGCCCCTGATCTACATCATGATGTCATAATAAAAGCCTGGCAGGAAATTGTTTTACTATCTTGTAAGAATTTTTTTGAGATTTTTTTCCAAAACTACTTACTATCCCATTTTGGTAAGAAAAGTAGCAACTCCAAATTTGTGCAAACAGAATCAGTTCAGTGAGACAAAAAGCAATGTCTCAAAGATTTTCTTTTTAAAATAAAAAGTTCCAAAATAGAGAATCCCAACAACTTTTTAAACTTTTCTCAATTTTTTTCTAAAGGAGAAATGAGTGTAATTGTTTCCTTTCTGCACGTATTTTTTGTTTTTAATGTCTGGCCATCTTCCAAATGAAAAAAAAAATTAAAATCTCTGCCAGTTATCATTATAACAGGAATAAGATGTATTGTGCGTCTGGAAGGTTCTGAAGTTAAAAAAGCAATAGGCTTTATTCTGATTGCATATTGTAACTGTAAAATATGACTAAATCCTTTTGTTTTGTATTTACAAGAATTGCATGTTATGGACTAAGCTGCAGAGAGCTATATAGGTAGGATTTTGAAAAATGAAGTGTTGAGCACCCACATTGCTAACAATGAGAAACAGTTCTCTTGTTTAGGTGCATAAATATTAGGCTCATAAATCCACTCTTGAAAATCTTTCTACGTCTTGCTTTACATAGAGCAATACTTGTTTTTCAGTTCTTACAGCAGCTGTGACACAAGCCTCTCTGCAGTCTATACTCCATAAAATTCTCACTGCTGGACCATCTGCTTTCAATATTACTTCCCTGATTTCTCAAGCTGCACAGCTGTCTACGCAAGGTATTTAAAAGTCTTACGTGTCCTTATGCAAAATTGCATTCTAAAAGTTTAATTTTAAAAAGTAATTGATGAATGACAGTGCTAGAACTTGAACTTTCAGTTCAAATGGGAGGGTAACACCATTTTAATGTAGGATGCCTGATACACCAGAAGTGCTGAGTTTTCCAAGCGAAGGATGTGGTAAAGAGTCTTTATGTAAGGAACTCAAGGCTGATGTATTAGAGTAGATTAAGTCTAATGGTTCCTTGTTTTCACTTTTGTGACTTAATAACTGCTTGTATAATGCCATCTTTTTGGCGACACCAGGCGTTCAGGCATTGCACGTTTCTAATCAACGATTTAGATTGATATAGTGTAATGGTGCTCGTGGTTTTGGCCCCGTGGGCCAGATGAATGGCATGGGGCCAGATCAAGCCTTGTGCCACCCCCCTGTGTGTTGGGAGTGGGCTCCTGGGGTCCAGCCCAGCCCCCAGATGCTGGGATTGGGCCCTGAGCTGCCCTGCACACCATATCTAGCCTGCAGAGCTCCCTATAGATCGTGGGAAGTCCTGTAGGCCAGATGATCTGGCGCCAGGGGCCAGAGGTTGAGCATCCTTGATTTAGTGTACAAGGCAGTCAGCCAGCTTCTGCTATTTAAAGCTTGCCTAGAGTGCATTTTTCTTTACCATCAGCTGTTTTTAGGATTAGTAGTGACACCCAATTTATAGTTGCTTTTAACATTTAAACCTCATATTAAGTAAGTATTTGACCATGTGTTTTCTAAGAGATCTTTGGTTCCAGAATTTATTTCCTTCCCTCAGGCTTTTTGAATTGTGTAGTTAACCTAGGTAAATATTCCAGGTACAATACAAATTCTGGTTTTGCAGGCAATTTGGGAAGCAATAGCTTATACAGTAGAGCTTGAGACTTGAAATGAGGTTAGATAGGTGCTGTATCAGTGATTCTTGACCAAGCTTTTAAGGCTGCAATGGGGTGCCACACAGTATTAGCACTGGTAAGTGTGCAAACACCTACAAATGATTTTCAAGATAAATTCAGGGATTTCAAATAGAAATCAATGCTGTCAAAAACATTCTGACCTGCTATGATCTTTGAGTTCTTTGCAACAGAAGAATGGCTGTATAATTTTTTTTGTAGTCAAAGGGATGTCTTGAGTCTAAAAATGTTGAGAACCACTGTGCTATCTGTAGCTATAAGTAATGTTTTAAAGTCTTAAAGTTGTTTTTAATGCTTCTAATTAGATTCAGCACTTTAAGTAAAGATTTTGAATGAGGCACATTCATCTGTCCACATTTACAAAAAATCAGAAGTGGTCAGCACCCACATTTTCAATCCATGCTTTCAGAAGAGCTGCTCCCACCTAGGCTTTGATCAGAATTAATATATTACAAAAATACTCAGTGTTCAGCAGCTCTTGTTCTCAGGTTCTGTGCATTGATGAAAATCTGTCATTTAAAGCTGTATTTTCCTTTGAATGATAGTTATGCACACACTCACTGTGAGTCCACATGCATCTCAAGCACTTGATTGGTTACCTTTTTGTCTTAGCAGTACCCATAATGTAAGAATTTATTCTTATAAGCAGTGTTCTTCTTTTTGAGCTAGTCTTCCTTTAATTGTTGCTGGTACTACACTGTGCTGGCCATTGGGGCATCCTTTCCTCTCTTTGGCTATCTTCTATATGTTATATCCTTTTCAGATAGAAAGATTAGTAGTTTCCCTCTTTCCTTTTCATTATTTTTGAAGGGTTTATGGGCATTCTCTGGAATGTAAACTGTGACTATCTTGTGACCAATGACAAACCTGCATCAGATGAGCACACAAGAGAGCTTTATTTTTTAAGGGGACACAGAGTGGAGATTTGGATAGGTGGTATGTATCCTCCAGCACTAGCTCTTCATGGAGACCCTACATTTCAAGCTTCAGAGAAACTGGCAAGAGATCTACTGTGTAGGACTTCTTGAGTTCCTCTAAGTTTGAGACTCAGAGCCCATTAAGTATGCTTTTGAAGCTTGTAGATGCTTTGGACATCACCTTCTAGTTACTGTCAACAATCAAGTATCTCCTTCTAGTTCATCAAGGATCTTCTGATCCTTTTGACCATTAAGAAAGCCAGAGATAAAAGGTTTAGACCAGAGGTATCAAACTCATGTGGCCCATAGGCTAAATCTGGGCTACAGGGCTTCCTATGGGCTGTGGCTGGAAGAGCAGAAATTTGAGTGCAAGTTTCAGGGAGTTGGTACTGCTTCTGCTTGTTCTCCTTTTCCCCTGGCTACTGATCTTAGTTGCCAAGGGTGAATAAAAACCTTATTTTGGCAGTGGGTAAGGATAGGGTGCGGGAGAGTGGGGAAGCAAGAAGTGTTAACTCCTTGGGCTCTGGAGCTGTGCTGAAAACAAGCATCTCTGGCAGTTGTGGGAATTAACATCCTTTCTCTCAGATAGTTGAGCCTGTGGGAAGCCCCAGAGTCTGGGTTCAGCCTGTAGTGCCAAACAAATTCAACAGGAAGTGCTAGGGTTTGGGTTGTAGCTATGTTGGTCTAAGGACATAGGCAGACAAGGTTCCTTGGGTGAATTTGATATCTTTTATTTGACCAACCCAAACGGTTGGAGAATAGTTATTAAGCAAGCTTTCGGGTTCAAAAACCCTTTGTCAGGCTAAGGAAGCTTCAGCAGTTGGTGTGTGCTCTTCCTGGATGGAATGAAAAGTAAAACTGGAAGTGCTAGTCCTTTTTCTTCACAGAACATGTTTGTATAGACTTTCCATTTTGATGCCCTCGTTTATCATGCGAACCCTCTTGTGTGCCATTTCATGGGTACTCTGTAAGGGGAGACTGGATGATCCTGGAAACCTCCAAAACAGTTTCAGTACCAGGACATTCTGATGTCCATAAGGGACTCCAAGGCTCTGTATTTGGTCCCCAGACCTTCTTATTCAGGTCAGAGAGAGAGTGTTTCATTCATGCCAACTCAAATAGTTGGGAAAAATTCTTGCAAAGAACAATTTTTCCAGCTGTTTGAGTTGGTCTAATAAAAGATATCAGATTTGCCCAAAGAACAAACTCTGTCTATGTCCTTAGGCCAATACAGCTACAACCTATGCTGCTTTCATTCAGACCCTCATTCCTGTCATTTGACAGCCTGGAGAGCCTAGGACAGGACCTTTTGGCCCTGCAGGCTGTATGAGTGGTCTGTGCTGAGTCCTTGGGCCGGATCCAGTCTGTGGGCCCAGTCAAGTATGCATTTGGGCCAACTCCTGATCTGCCGTGTTCCACATTGAGCCGTAGTCCTACATGCCATATTGTGGCCGTGACCCCAGCCCTGGACCAGATTGGGCCTGCCAACCTGCCCCCCACCAAATTTCTGGACTTTTTTGGCTAGCCCCACAGACCAGCTCAGACTGTTCCACAGGCCAGACTCGGCCTGTAGGATAGGGGTTTGAGCTGCCGCCGGCCCCCCCCCCCCCCACCCCCAGGAGACCGCAAAG